GGGGTGAAGGTGGGGCTGGATTCTCTCTGGGGTGGCCGAGCTCCTTGGATCCCAGCCCAGCTCCTGGAGGACTGTCCTAGCTGCTCCCCCAGAGTGCTGTGGCTGGGCTGTCACAGCTGCTTAATTGGCCTATTAGAATGGGCACAGCCATTGTTGAAATCACAGGGCTGGGAGAATTTTGAGGCATCTTACCCGGAGCCTGATTGTCTCTCTTGTCATTGTTTTTACCATGTTTATTGTGCCTCCTCCTGCGGTCTTCAGGCCTGCTGGTTCCTCTGGCAGCGATGCCTGGGCGGCCTCCTCCAGCCTTTCTGTCCATGTGTCCCTGTGCTCCTGAGAAGCATGGGGGCCTGTTGGGATGATGTGTTGGGGTCCTAATTCCTTTAGGCTTCAGTTTCCATTTCAAGCTGACATCTGGAGTTCCACATGCTGGGAGCGCACGGCTTGCAGGCCTGTTGCAGGATCTTGCATTGACCTGTGTCAGTCTGTCAGCCAACCTTGGGCATCTCTCTGGCCTCCTAGGACCGTGGTGAGGAGGTGCACGGCCCTGACGTTCACGAACTCTGAGGAGAAGGTTTTGGTGGCAGACAAGTCTGGGGACGTTTACTCCTTTTCGGTGCTGGAGCCGAATGAATGTGGCAAACTTGAACTTGGGCACCTGTCGATGCTGCTGGATGTGGTATGTGGTGGTCCAAGTGCTTATTAACTCTGCTGTGGGGCTCAGGTGGGGCGGGGGCGGGGGTCTGCGCTGAGCGTCTGGGTGGGGGGGGTGGGCCTGTTGGCAGGGACAGCCCTCTGCAGATACATGAGCAGGAGGATTGGGATCCAGGCACGTGAGGCTGACAGCGGGCGAGTGAGGAAGGCGCTGGGTGGTTCCGGACGTGAGGTCAGCCCAGGTCAGGCTGATGCGGTGGAGGGGCGCAGTCACGAGGTCAGAGTTCATCCTTCATGCTTCACGGGCATCTCCATGGTGTCCTTCCAACTCCTGAGCCAGGAGCTGTCCCAGTGAGGGCTGGGCTGTAGCCATGGGTGGTGGAACTGGGGTGGGTTCCCACGGGGACATGCAGGCATAATGGGGGGAGTCAGGACTTGGCGACTGTGAAATAGGAGGGAGAAGAAGGTGACTCGGTGCTGGAGACAGGAAGGCATGGGTGGCAGTAAGGAATTGTGTTGAGATGGGTCTTCATGGATATGGAATGGGGGCTGGAGACAAGAGGTCTGAGGGGCGGTGGTGGAGGGAAGTGTCTGGCTGTCCCGTGACTGGATCTGTCCTTTCTCACCCCTCGCATAGGCCGTGAGTCCTGATGACCGCTACGTCCTCACCGCTGACCGGGATGAGAAGATCCGGGTGAGCTGGGCCGTGGCACCGCACAACATCGAGTCCTTCTGCCTGGGGCACACTGAGTGAGTCTCCCTCCGCCCTGAGATGGTGTCTGGGGAGAGGTGGTTCCTCAGGCTGAGGGCCAGCTGGTCTGAGTCTGGCCTCTGGGCAGTGTTGCTGCTCCTCCATCCCCCACTGTCTTCCATGTCTCCCCCTGGCTTGGAAGGCGGCCGGTGCTGTGTGCAGGCAGCTGAGAGGAGCACACATGGGTCTGTCCAGCAGGGTGGCCGGGCTTCATTGGGTCTGGGGGCCGCCCTTGGTGGAGGCTATTATGTTGTTGGGTTTCTGAGAATACACAGCCAGCGAGCTCCCAGCCTCCTCATCACTATCCACACAGCCATCACCAGTTACACATGTTACTCATATCGGTTTTGTTGGAGGTCAGGGGTTTGAGGGGCACAGGCTTGTCTCTGAGGTGACAGGAGTCGTGTGGAGGTCACAGCAGCACCGGCTCACTCTGCTTCTCTGTGCTGCAGGTTCGTGAGCCGCATCTTCGTGGTGCCCGACCACCCTGAGCTGCTTCTGTCCTCATCCGGGGTGAGTGCCACTCCGCCACGGGCCCCTCTGGGTTCCTCTGTAGGGACCGAGCAGGAGCCATGCTTGCAGCCAAGAGCTTGTCCTTTGTTCCCAGTCGTGGTTTGGACGTCAGTGTTCCTTCTTCACTGGTGGCCGTCCACTAGATGGTGCTTGTTTTCTGCAGTTTAGAGCTGGCTGGGCCTTGCTCCTGTTTGTGGCTGTGGACGTGGGTGTGAGTGTGTATGCAGGTCTGTGTGTGTAGAGCTGGAGGGTCTTGTGCAGGGAGTCCGTTCTAAGGACTGTTACATCTGTCGTAACATCGTGATCCTATTTCAGACAGTTGGTGGAGGAACCCTTTCTGAGTCTGTAGGGACCTGGGTTTGGTCACCACTGCTGCTGACACATGCTCAGTATCCCCATGTGTTTCTCCTTGTGCAAATGCCTGGTCATTGATGTGCCCGTGTGTTTATGCACATGTATGCTCATGTGTGTGCATACTCGGCCCAAATACAGCTTGGCATGTGACATCATGTTACCATGTGTCCTTTGCTCATTTTGCTGTGTGTGGTTACCCATTTTTCTTTCTATAAAAAAACAAAAACACGACTTTTTTTTTCTTAAACATATTTTTAAAAATATATTTTTATTGATTTAGAGAGGAAGGGAGAGGGAGAGAGAGAGAGA